CTGTTTGTTCACATAGTATTTTGCAGTGGCACTGTCTGTGCGTAGGTGAACTACTGAGTGCCTGATATAGTCCTGGAAGGCATGACATGCATGGTGAATGGCCCGAAGCTTCAGCATGTTGCTATGGAGTGAGGCTTCCTGTTCTGATCCTAAGTCCTGCACCCTCAGCAAGTCCAGGTGCCCCCCCGAAAAGTGAAGTGTCAGTAACTGCTGACTTTGTTGGAGAGGGCCGAGCAAAGGGGGCTCCCCTAGCACACACTGCATGGGAATGCTCACCAATGTAAGGAGTCTAAGACTAGAGGGGGAAGGTGAACTAATCTGTCCAGAGAATACAGGGCAGGGCGATACACTGTCCTGAGCCACAGCTGAAGAGGGCGAAGGCGAAGCCTGGCAAACTGGTCCCCCTGCGTACTATTGGATATGTGCCCCAGCAGGCTAAGACATACCCGGACTGTCGTGGAGGGCTGAGTTTGCAGGCTGAGACAGAGCTGTTGAATTGCCTGGAAGCAGTCGGCTGGCAGGAATGGTCTCGTCCTCATGGAATCTAACAGGGCTCCAAGGAACTTGATTTTTTGAGTGGGAGCCAAGGTTAACTTTCCAGTGTTTACAATGAGTCCCAGATGGCCAAGCAAACACAATGTGCTGTTGACATGGGCAAGAACCTCCTCTCTTGAGCCGCCCCTTCAGCAACCAATCCCTGAGTTACGGAAAGATGTGAATTCCTTTCCTCCTGAGATATGTCATGATCCACAGCCATTTAAAAATTGGGTTTGTTTAGTCCGGAGAAGAGAAGATGGAGGGAGGACATGATAACAGCTATCAAGTACATAAAAGGTTGTTAAAAGGAGGAGGGAGGTAAATTGTTCTCATTGACATCTGCGGATGGGACAAGAAGCAATGGGCTTCAACTGCAGAAAGGGCGGTTTAGGTTGAACATTAGGAAAAAATTCCTAACTGTCAGGGTAGTTAAGCACTGGAGTAAATTGCCTAGAGAGGTTGTGGAATCTCTATTATTGGAGATGTTTAAGAACAGGTTAGACAAACACCTCTCTGCGATCGTCTAGATAATCCTGAGTGCAGGGCACTGGACTTGATGACCTCTCAAGGTCTCTTCCAGTCCTACGATTCTATGATTCTATGTATCTGGTGAAGACTAGGGTAACAGATGAGAGACTGAAGGGGAGAACCGTATACTGGAAGTGGCACTCTCCTACCACAGAATGAAGAAACTTCCTGTGGCTTGGTAGAATCACCACATGAAAGTAAGTGTCCTGGAGATCCAAAGCAAAGAATACATCATTCTGAGACAGTGCAGGGAGGATAGCCGATAGATGAGGCTCTACATGGTCACTCTATTTTATTACCTTGTTGAGGCCATGAAGGTCGAGGGTGGGTCTCATCCAGCCCTTGGATTTTGGTATCAGGAAATATCGGGAGTAAAAGCCATGGCCCTGGTGTTGCGGCAGAACTTCCTCCACCACTCCCAACGTCAGCAGAGAGCTGACCTGCTTGATGAGCAATTTCTCGCGAGAGGGGTCCCTGAAAGGGGATGGGGAGGGGTATGTGAAAGGGGTGTGGAGAGGAACTGGACTGCGTAGCTCGATTTAACAGTATCTAGGACTCAGCTGTCAGAGGTAATTGAGTCCCAAGCACTGTTAAAATGGGCCAGTCTGTTCCCAAAGGGGTTGGAATAAGAGGGTGGAGTAATGCTGTGGACTAAGGAGTCAAAATGGGCACTTACCAGGCTCTGGAGGAGTGTGTGTGGATTGTCTGAAGCCTGTGCCTGACTGCTTCCTCTTGTGGGATCTATCTTTCTTTCTAGGAGGGAAAGGCTGCACACAGGACTGCTGCAGGGGATACTGTTGCTGCTAGCGAGCCCCATAGCGGCGTCTTTGCATGGATAACATGTACACTACCAAGGACCGCAAGATTCACTCCTTTAAGGATTCCAGTGCTAAGTACCATCAGTCTTGTCCAAGAACAAGACTGAGCCTAAGGGCAAGTCCTCTATGGCTTGCTGGACGTCCAAAGTGATCCCAGAGTTTTAAAACCATGAAGCCCTCCCCATAATTAGAGATCATCACCGTGGCCGAGGTGTCTCCAATGTCAAGGGCAGACTCCAGGGACGCTTTGGCCACTGAACAGCCTTCCGCAATGAACACCCAAAATCCTCAAACAAGGCTTTGGGAAACTGGTCCTTGACTTTGGACATGGCTGACCAATAGAAGAAATCATACTTGGACAGCAAAGCTTGTTGATTCACAATATTCATCTGTAAGGACAACGAGGTATAGATATTTCTGCCCAAAAGACTCCAACTGCTTGGAGTCTCTGTCCGTGGGGGTAGACTTGAAACTCCCCTGCCTCGCCCTGTCGTTCACTGCCATCAGAACCAGGGAGTTTTGGCCCAGTGGGAATAGAACCCTTCAAATCCCTGTATCGGAATGAAGTAGCTTAGCCACCAGCAGTACCGAGGCCGGTGTACTCCACAGGGCTCTCGCCAGCTCCAGAAGCCCATCACCAGTCAGGAGGGCTATTCTCCCAGGGATGCAAGCTGTAGAATGTCTACCAGTTTGTGTGTGTTCTCTTGGAGAAACTGTACCAGGATGCCAAGTGATCTGGCTATGCAGTGTAAAAGGTCCTGGTACAACTTAAAATCCTGTTGGATAGAAAGAGAGGATGAACCCGGCAGCACACTGTGCCCAGAAGGAATGACTCCAGTAGCTCCACAGGGAGAAAGACCATCAATGCCTAGGCACATGACTGTTCTTCAGTCACCACCGCTGATCCAACAGGTGACTTTGGCTTTGACCAGGACAAAGAGCAGGATCTCCACAAGTGAGGAGCGTCTCACTGAGTCCAAGAAGCCCATTGATACAGGTAGGGTATTGGTGGACAACAGGGGTTGGAACAAGGACCTCCGTCCCAGCCATGGTGCACAGCCAATCCTGGGAACCATACTGGTCCATTGGCAGCCCTCAGAGCTTGTTGGGTGATGTGGAGCAGGATGACAACCAGACCGACTCAGAATCAGAAGAGCCCTGGGATCTCGGCGATAAGGGCGGAGCAATGCCCAAGTGAACCAACCGGTGGTCAGATTCATCGATCACCCAGAACAAGGGAGAGACCATTGCCCCCGATGAAGGCAGTACCATTGCTACTGAGCATGCCAGTGCTGCAGTCATTGGTCCTGACACAAACAGCGGTATCAGAGTGCAGGAGTGCTTTGACGTCGAGGGTAGTGAAATTTGCCATGGGATCATCTGTGGTGTCAAATGCTGCTGAGCTGAAGAGGGTCCCCATACTGATTCTGGTACCAGTTCCATGCCCACTGTGGGGAAGGGAATGTCTGAGTGCAGTGCCAAGGGGCATCAAGATTCAGTGGGGTGGTCCTTTGGAGGGATTGCTGAAGGTGCAAGCCTTGGAAAATTCCGTACCAGCGGTGAGGATGGAATGGAAAGGCAGAGCGGATCTGCCACAACCTGGTACATCAACACAGCAGATACAGTCGGTACTGGCATCCCCCTCATCGGTTCCAGACTCAATGGACATCCGGAGATCAGAACTGGTGTCAATGGTACGGGGTTTCTGCCCTTCCTACTGAATACCAGGGAACGGTCAGAGGTACCCACGCTATCCCGTGTGCCAGAACCAGTCGTGTGCCAGTCCACACTTTTCCTGTAGAAGGCAGAGGAGTTGCCCTGCGACCTGGAGTGGTCCCGATGGTCTTATGAGACCATAAGCACCAATAACTGAGAACAGCTCCTCTGCCTCTTCGGAGAGGCATCTGTCTCAGAACAAGAGGCAGTGATGCTCTCTGAGCCAGAAGGCAATCTTTAGCCCAAAGAGGGCTTTGGTACTGGATCAGGTCGCTTGGACTGTTCAAGCAGGTGCTGTCTGAGATGAAGGTCTTGACCACCTGAGTCTGCTTTTTAAACTATCTACAGATCAAACAATGCTCTTTAAGGTGGGCCTTGCCTAAACAAGTTGGGTCACAGTTGGGGATAGCCCCTCCACACAAAGGTCAACGTTCAAACCCTGGTGAGGACATCACACTTGAACACTACCACCTAACACTAATTAACTAACTATATACAATAAACCAAGCTAAGACTAAAGGCAAGGCTGTGAGACTACAACCACACATAACTGACTCCAGTTAGAAGGAACTGGGGAGAGGGTCAGGGTGGCACTGCCTCATATAGCCAGGAGAGAGGCCACAGTCACAAGCATCAGCCCTCTATGGGTACCGCTAGGCAAAAAACTCCAGTGCTGGGTGCGCACACCTAAGTAAAAATACATGTTGGCATCTACTTGAAGAACCAAAAATGCCCAAAATCTTTTTTAAAAGGAGACTTTGAAAGTAAAGGTGAAACTCTCACAACCACCCTCAACAAAAACTGCATTAGTCAAGCTCATTATGCAGTTGCAGAAGCACAGAAAATAACTGTTCATCTGATTCTTCTGTTTATACCAGAACAGAGAAACCACAGTAACTGAAGCAACATCATGGACGAACTTTTTCTTAATCTTCTTCAAAGCTTGCAACTTCTAACCTTAGTTCATTTCTCTAAATGAAGAATACAGTACACTTGCCTTAATATGCATCTGTCAGACACCTATCATCCTACCTAACGTTTAATATCTTAATAATTTAACAAAGATTACGTACTCTGTAAAAGGAGTCAAATCCATCATGTCAAACTTTAATACAGCTGCTTCTGTTTTAAATACTGCAAAGGTAAGGTTTTATATTCAATTCTCGGCAAAAACATTCTTAGCAGTTTACAACATTTATTTACTGAAATCAATTATGTTTCCCAGATATCTAGATATACATTATAGTTTACTTTGCCTTTCAAGATTTTCTGACTGCATTTTCAAAGGCAGATGATTTCACAGATGGAAATGATTATAGATCAAGTATAGAGCAATTTAAATCATTAGCTATTTTCAAGAAGTTAAAAATATAGTCAAGATATTAAATGAGTATCCCTTACTCTCTTCATAACTGTTGTTTGTACTTGACCTCTTGAGTGTTTGAATTTCCTGGGAAAGTATGGAGAGCCGGTCTGACTGAGTGGGTGTTTCTTCGTCTTCTGGGTCAGGTGATTCCTGCATCATTTCCTCTATTTCTTCAATCACCTTTAATAAAGATGCATACGCATAGTCTTAGGGAAGAGAATCACTGGTAACGAGCAACAACTTAGAATTTGTGTATGTTCTACTGACAGCTCATCAACTTTTTTACTTTTAAAATTTTCTATTTCCAGATAATTTTTCTTCCAAGAAATGCATATTAGGTGGTACTGACAAGGTAAAGCCACTGTTGAGACTGGGAATCAGGCATATCAATATAAAGGGAAATTTCTTTAAAAAATAGAAAATGGGACTCTGCACAAATTGGTCTCTTCATAACAATTTTATTCATTAAATCTATACATATTGTCTCATAATGGCTAAGAAATAAAGTTTGCAGCCATGCATACATAGGTCCTCTGTCTCTCTGCTTCAAGACCACTGATGATTTGGCAGGATGAGTTTGTATATCTTTTTCTGATATTGAGTCTAAGTTTTATTTTCTTAATTTTATCCCATTCCTCCAAGTTAAACCACTTTATACCACCATAAATATTTTTTCTCAGTCCTTGATATGTACATCCTTCAAACAGTTGTAAATAGGTATTCTCCCCTTAGTCATCCATAGCAAAACTATAGTATATTTTAGTTACTTTATTCTTTCCAGATAAGCATACCCTCTACAGCCCTTTAATCATTTTTACTGCTCTCTCTTGCCATCCCACAATTTGTCAATATCTTCCTGTTAATTAGGCACCCCAAACTGAATGCAAAATTTCAGTTGTGGTAACACCAGGCTTGTCAAAAAAAAAAAAAAAAAAAAAAAAAAAAAAAGGAACTACAACCTCCTGGTTCTGTAAGCCAAAAATCACATTTTTTTTAAACACCATGTCACATTTATATTGTATATTGCACATTTATGTTTAATTTATTTATTTGTCTTTCAGTGTTACTAATTTCCAGATGTGTCTCATGAAGAGAAGAAATTATTTATTTGCTTATACATCAATGATAGGAGCCTGGATAACAGACAAGAGGAACTGGAATTGCTGACTTATAGGCATAAATAAAATCTAGTTGTATTACTGAAACCTGGTGGGTTAATTCACACGATTAGCATGTTAAAAATAAATGGTTATAACCTATTTAAGAAGGACTGAGTGGGCAAGAGGACTAGGGGAGTGGCAACCTGTGTCAAAAAAGGCATTACTTGTTTCCGAGTAACTGATAACTTGGAAGAAAATGATCTGAATGCTTACGGATCAATGTCCTAAAGATAAAGCACACAATGAAGTATTAATTGGTGTCTACTACAGACCACCAGATCACAGTAGGAACAAGATCACTGCCTCCTTTTGCACATATCTATAATGGGTCAGGGAAAATAAACCTCTGTGATCATGGAAGACTTCCATTTGAGTGACATATGCTAGAGGTCTCAAGCTACCAGTTCTAAAACATCCTTGGAATTTCTAAACTTTATAGATGACAATTTTCTAACCCAAAAAGTCTTACAGCCAACACAGGTGAATTTTTTATTAGACCTGGTCCTAACAGATAAAGTAGAACTGATCACAGCACTAAAATTTAATGGTAGATTAGGAACAAGTGATCATGACTTGATCACCTTTATAATGTGCAAGCAGAATCAAGTCTAGAACAGTAACATATTATAGATACATACACACACACCTGGTGCCTTTATAGGGTCATTTTCACATTAAAAAAAAATTATGAGCCAAATCAGCTGGGAGGAAGAATTTAATCAAAGAAATGTGAATGGTAATTGGGAATAATTTAAGAACACATTACTAGATGCCCAAAAAGCCACAATCAAGGAAGAAGGCCAGGCTGGTTAAAAAAAACCAGCCTGGTTTAAACGGAAAGAGAAAACAGTTATAAAAAAAAATAAACGGTTCAGAGAGGAGTCACGAGCATGATTAAAGCATAAGAAAACATGCCGTATAGCAACAGACTCAAAGAGTTCCATCTATTTATCTTAACAAAGAGAAGGTTAAAGGGTGACGACGACAGTTGATAAGTATCTACATAGGCAACAAATATTTAATAATGGGCTCTTCAATCTAGTAGTGAAAGGTATAACATAATCCAATGGCTGGAAGTTGAAGCTAGACAAATTCAGACTGGAATTTAGGAATACATTTTTGACAGTGAGGGAAATTAATTATTGGAACATCACTGGTAGATCACTGAGAATTTTAATCAAGATTGGATGTTCTTCAAAAAGTTATGCTCTAGAAATAATTTTGGGGAAATTCTATGGCCTGTGTTATACAGGAGCTCAGACCGGATGATCACAATTGTTCCTTCTGGTCTTGCAATCTATGCATTTCCCTCCACCATCTTGAGAATCTGCATTTTATGCTATTTCCCCCAGCTGTATTAATTTCCTTTTTCCAAATTGTATATCAGGTTTTTTTGGCCCATATTTCTTCTCTCTTTTGGTTCCTTTTACAGTAATATTTCTCTGTACTGATTGTTGATTAATCCTCTGCAGTTTACTAACACAGGTGAATTTAGTGTTCTGTTTTATTTAGGATTCCAGATCATTAATGAAGATGTTAAAACCAGGCACTGCATTGCCCTGCTCAACTCTCCCCAAATTCAATACCGCTACAATTTATCATTAACTTTTATCCAGTTTTTACTTCACATGGCAGTGTTTTTAGCAAGTCAGTTTGGATTAATTTTTTGAGATTATCAGAAAATATCAAACCCTCCACTAAAATCTAAATATACATCAACTCCATTCACTTCATTTACCAAATTTGTAGTTTTATTTTAAAGAGCAATCAAGTTTTTCTGCCAACCTTTGTTCTTTATAAATCCATGCTTTTTATTATTTGTTCTTATTACCTTCACCAGTTTCCCTTCTCTTACTTGATTACTTTAGTATAGATAGAAGTTAGATGTACCAGGACAATAATTGACAGAATTGCTCTCTCCCAGATGACAACTGGTCCTGCATATTCGTTTACCTACAATTTTTCAAGATTTTCCTAGTTATCCATCAATTTTCAAAACTCATATTTTACAGTAAGCTTATGAAGAGCCCATGGCCAGCTTTTGGCACTACTCAACTATGTATTTATAACCAAATACTTTTTTGAGATGGGTACAACACATATGGGATATTGGGTTTATTAAGAAAAGAACACAGCAGATTGTCTTTTAGAGTTGTCTCATTATTCAGGAAATGGTTGACGAGCATGAATCATGATTAGATTACCCTATCTGCTTTCTAAATAATTTTTCCATCTTCCTGCTATTTAATGCTAATTTCCTTGACAATATTTCTAAAGTAAAGTCAGAGTGTGCTTATGGTTTTTTTTAGCACTTTCAAATACCACTCAAATCCAATGTTGGTCTCAGAGCAAAATTTACAAAGGATCCCCTGCAGAACAGAGGCAGAGAGCAAGGAATGTGCACATTCTGTGAAAGCTGCCAGGAGTAGGGCTCAAACTCTCAGTGCATAAGTGCTACTCACATTTAATGGCTACAGCGGGTCACCTTAAGCCCTCCCCCCCCCCCCAACTTACTGTGACCTTATTTTCAAAGTGCTCCATGGCCTTGGCCCAAGATACTTAAACCTCTGGGACAAAGACCGTGGTCGACAACTTTGCTCCTTTGACACAACGGAAATCTCAACAGTAAGAGTAAAGTTTGCCTATGTAAGAGACAGAACTATTTTCTGAGGCAGTCAGACTGTGGAATGAACTCCCCCAGGAACACGAACCTCACCATTTTCCACTTCTAGTGCAAGGCGCATTTCTTTGACTTAAATATACCTCTTGCTATGTGTTTGTAACAAAAAACACCCTACCAAAACAAGATACTCCACTCAAGATGTTCCTCCCTCGGGGGAGAGGATAAGAGAACAACCATCATGTAGCAGATATGTAGTCACACTGCTGATTGCACTACTGGAAGGTGCTCAGACACTACAGTGATGAGCATGGTATAAATGAATATAATAGAATAGAATGTAAGCTTGTGGATTTTAGAGCTCTTAGAAAAGACCGTTAAACAGTGAGCAATTCTCAACCTTAACAATAGAAGAGCTGCTGCTCTGTAATATGTAACATCTAAACCAAGCTCATACTGACCTAAAAAAAAATAAATAAAAATTACATTTGTCTTCACTGTCATTTTTGGAAGTAACAAATTGTATATTAATGCTAAGACATTTGAAAATAAGACATCCAGCCTCGTGCCATATATACTTAATTTAGGAGCATTTTTGTCTACATCTTCTTCCCTCAGATTCCTGTTGGATCATGCCAGGAAACTGAAGTATGAGAATTTCAAAGACCCATGTGGAAAACCCAAAGCTGAAACAGAGGGCAATTTGAAAGATGAAAAAGTACCCACTGCATCTCTTTGGCTATATCTACACTGCAAGTGAGGGGCGTGATTCCCCTGCTTATGTACAGATACTTGTGCTAGCTCTCATCAAGCTAGGGAGTGTATAAATAGCAGTGTAGTTAGAATAGTAGGGGTAGTGACAGTGAAGGCATGGCTGAGCTGTACCGAGCACAAACCTACTTGAAACTGGTGGGTACGTACGTGACACAGCTCAGCTGTGTCTCCACTACTGCTACCTGTGTTACCGCAGCTATACTGCTATTTATGCTAGCACAACTATGTGTACATAAGCAGGGGAATTACCCCCTTAGATCATAGTATAGACACTGCTGCTGTAACTCTAAACAAAAGCGATCAGCTTGTCTCCAAATCTCTTTAGCATCCACTAACTAGGAAGAACAAAAGGTATAGAACTAAGATATAATATTAAGCTGTAACACTATCTTTTTGTTGAATATTTTTCTTTACCTGCTCTGCTGTGAACAGTGGTTCATCACTGATGCAGGAAACTATGATAGAGTGCATATCCAGCTGTTCTCTAAGCTCTTCATCATCTGACAGGTCAAGGTTCAAATTTTCATTTAACTGAAAGCGCACACAGAAAAAGTGAAAGAGCAAAAAGTTAAATTATAAGAAGAAAGTCCTGGTGTCAACAATAATGGAACCAAAAATTAGATTCTTGCTAATAATCAAGAATCTAAAAGATATAAATAATTCTTATACCATAAAACCTAATACACCTCAACAAAAGTGAAAATGAATCTGTAACTGAAGCATATTTTATAAATTTTATCATCTTTTTGTTTTGACAAGAATATTAGCATATTCTTTACTTTCCAAAAAGGAAAAAAAAAAAAAAAGATGACTTTAAACACACCACTCACTCTGTGCTATGCAAACATTTGTAGACTAGCCAATCAGTCCATCAGACTCACGTAGCTCACCCTGTACTCCTTCAGATAGAAGCAAGATACCAAAATAGATATATCAATGACAGATAAGTATAGATCTGTTGCGTATCCTGACTTTTACAAAGGATTATATAAAATTACATAGATTACTGCTATTTACATCTGAGGAAGTCATCAGAATTTTTGACATATGCAAGAATCAGCAGTGCATTTAATCACTTACTTTAAATACAATATACATTAAGTCATGTCTAAAAAAGTTACAATTAGAAGCCAGGGTGGACAGACAATTCAAGGTTGTGATTTTCCAACCATAAAACAAAGCTACTTATTTTCTGGAAAAAAAACTCTATATGTTTTATTAAATAAGAAAACCACACACATAATATGGGATTCATTTCATAAGCATTTGTTCCTCAAACAAAAAGGCACACATTCTCGTAAGACCTTACAGTTCCACAATTAAACAGGGGGGACACAAAAATCACGTCCCCAGACTAATGTTAGGCCTACCATTATGCCATTACATACGGATATACTTTTACCATGTTATTTGCATTTTCACCACCTTGTATATTACAACATTTATTGTAAAACAATACAAACAAACCAATCTGAACGTGCAGAATACACTTGACTAATGCTGAATTGGCTAGATGGGAATGTAGGTCTTTTAAAAATTGCCAAAATTCTGACTTTAGCTGCCCTCTCACATTTACTTGATTTTTCATACCCTGGGCTCAGTATTTGACCTTTGCATCTGGGATCAATCATATTGGCTACACAATAGGAAAAATCCATTGCCTCATTTAAACCAGTTTTTGATTTTCTACTGTGCGATTCCAGTTTTGTTAACTAGAACAAGGTTTTCACTGAGACTGTCAACTACCTGCATTCTGTCAAATCCATCCCAAACTATCTTTAAATTTAGTGTCTACTGAGTATCCTGTTGTGTAAAACATGTGCTATGTTTTCATTAAAGTCTTTTTGGTGCTCAGTGCAAATTTCATCATGCTTGTGGTTGGATGCAAATATTCAGGCAATCTTCTCAAATACCTCACCAAGCATCATTGGAAATCTGGGGTATCAATCCTCTTTTTTTAATCACCCAGCTATTAGGCTGCAAAAGAATGTCCAAACTTTCACAATATGCTTCAGTGCATTGTACTATTAAAATTACACTCGGCTAAGCAATGCTAGTAGTGCCAATTTTCTCTATTAGTAGGGAGGGGCAAGTGTTGCTATATTTCAGTCGCACGTATTTGTAGAGCAAGGAAGTATATTTGGGCTCTGATCCTGCAGTTGGATCCACACTATTGTTGGATCCTGTATCTATCTCATTGCAGGATATGGCCTTGGTGGGAAAAAGTTCATAATGAATTTACCAAGACACAATTTACCAACATTTTCGGATACCATTCAATACACAAGACTGAAAGTGAACAAGAAGACTTCCACAGTATATTACTGTCTTTCCCTTGCCCCTCTGTTATGCAAATTGGTCCATTTGTTGACCTGTCAGTCAGTTTAGAAGGCATCCACATCATAACACTTTATTGAAAGCAAGGAGCAGAAACAAATGTATCAGATCTGTCATTGTTAAAAGACAACCCTTGCTGCTAATGCCAATACTACACATTAAAAAGAAAAATATTTTAAAGTGATCACAAATAACTATTTTAATAAGAATTACATCCTATATTGATTCTGTACCGAGAGGAAAAGGCCCCAAAAGGTTTTTGGCTACAGTCAGAACTTACCCCTCTTTCTGAGAGATTCAGTGTTGGCATATGCAAAGCTCTGGTGTGGGAGGACTTCCAATCAACTGGCATTACATTACCATAATTATCAGTCAAAGCATTCCAAATCCTGGACAAAAGGATTAAAGAAACAAACTGATATTGAAATGAATTGCAACTGATCATCTACAAAACAAAAACAAAAAACAAAACAAAACACAGAATATCTTTTTTCAACACTGGTATCAATCAGAAATTCTCCCAGGTATTCAATTAAAAATATTTTTATTGTTTTTACAGTCAAAGAAATAAATGCTGCAAAAGTTTGGTTTTATTTCTGTATCCTCCTGAAATGCAAAAAAGGGAATCATTTGCTGATGCTTGCACAGCAGAGAAATAAAAAGAAAACTGGAAAAGAACTAGGCTTCCTGATGGGTCATAAATTTTGGGGATAAATGAGTTTTCCCTTTGTTGAAACGTTAGCCAGACGATGCTCTGTACCCTCTTTCCTACTTCTTTTCTATGTTGTTCTAATTTCTCTTGCCTCATGCATCTCAAAACCAGGAATTAGCAAGTGCTGAGCAGCAACTCCCAAGCCAAAACTTCACTTTATTTCAGTGAAGACTGCACAACTATAAAGGAATGTATAAATACAAATGCACTAGTCAGGAAAGTCTCCAATGTTTATGGAAGTGAAAGATTAAGAAAGAAAGGTTAAAACTTAACTTTGTTATAAATCCATTTGCAATACTCGACTTTTTCTAAAATTCTGCTGTGTGTCTAGAACTATCCATGCTTCGTTTCAGACCAAGGATGAAGATCTGGGCTTTTTCCAGAAGTGAAAGTAAGCCGGTTCGGTCCGGCGTACCAGCAAGAGCCAGTACACCGTGCCAGACTGGACTGGCTTCCCCAGTGGTGATTTAAAGGGCCCGGTGCTCCTGCCACTGCGGGGAGCCCCGGGCCCTTTAAATCAACTCCGGAGCTCTGGCAGTGGGGCTTGGGCAGCGCTTTAAAGGGCCCGGGGATCACCGCAGTGGCAGGAGCACTGGGTCCTTTAAATCCCCGCCTGAGCCTGGCTTCCGGAGCCCCAGCGCTCTAGCAGCCGGGCTCCAGCAGGGATTTAAAATGCTCGGAGCTCTGCGGCGGCCGGAGCCCTGGGCCCTTTAATTCACCCCTGAGCCCTGGGGCTCCCAGCTGCAGCTGGGAGCTCTGGAGTGATTTAAAGGCCCCAGGGCTCCCAGCCAGAGCCACGCCACGCCCATACTCAGGACTCCAGCGTACTGGTAAGTCCTTTAAGTTACTTTCACCCCTGACTTTTTCAGATAAGTTTATTTAGTCATTTGAGTTAAAGAGAAAAACACTTCCCTCCCCCCATCTAAAAAAATATAGTGAGAGACTAAAAAATGACTAAAAAAACCCTTCAGATTTTATATGTGGCTAAACCTCAGTGAAGAGTTGTCATTTCCCTAATTAAAAAAACGGCACATACAACTAAAAAAGTTTAAAAATTTAAAACTGGTTATCGTGCATGCTCATTATGAGATTTTTATTGTAGTGTTTCAGATCCATCTGATCTTCAACTTCATCCCATGGGAGAGGAACAGGCTGCTGGATCCCCAACAAATCAAAGAAAACTCTCCACAGGACTTGTGGTAATATTCAATACATGTCATAAGAACATAAGACGGCCATTCTGGGTCAGACCAAAGGTCCATCTAGCCCAGTATCGTGTCTTCCAACAGTGGCCAGTGCCAGGTGCCCCAGAGGGAATGAACAGAACAGGTAATCATCAAGAGATACAGCCCCTGTCGCCCATTCCCAGCTTCTGCCAGAGGCGAGGGACACCATCCCTGCCCATGCTGGCTAATAGCCATTGATGGACCTATCCTCCATGAACTTATCTAGTTCTTTTTTGAACCCTGTTATAGCCTTCACAACATCCTCTGACAAGGAGTTCCACAGGTTGACTCTGCGTTTTGTGAAGAAATACTTTCTTTTGTTTGTTTTAAACCTGCTGCCCACGAATTTATCTAGTTCTTTTTTGTCACAGACCCTGTCTTGATAGGCAAAAGAGGCATTTTTCAACCATTTTAACTCAATGGGATCAGCTTAGGAGGAAAGCCCTGCTGGTGCTCACGGACAGTCTACCTACCCAGTGGAAAAGGTGTGGCATTAGCTCACAGTAACACATGCGGGGGTTCATCACCCCAGGGAGAAACCACAGAGACGCTGACAAACTAGGATGTCGACCTTTAACGTTGCTATTAAGTGGCCATACAAAAAGATGAGGACAACTACTGGCAGCAGCTCTGGTTAGCCCGCGCCCACAGGGCGGCCTCGGGTGCGAACTTGAGTTCACAGCCAAGTTGCGCTGTGCCCACCCAGCTGCTCTGTGGGCTGACTGCAGTGTGGCCAGGCCCAGCTCGCACAGGCCAGCACAGCCACAGCCCAGTCAGCCTAGCGCCCTCCCCCCCCTCCAACGACCAGGGACCCCCGCCCCGCCCGTTCGCCCCGCCCCAGGGGGACACCCCCACTCGTTTACCCCCTCAAAGGACTCCCCAGCCCAGGCCGTCCCACCCCACCGGACCCTTCATGCGCCGCCCTCTGCCACCTACGCGCCGCTGGCCCCCCCCGCGGGTGCCGATCACCCCCCTCTCAGCGCCCCGCCCCCGCTCACTCGTCTTCCCGTAGGGCGCTCTGCTCGCTGAGGGGCTGCAGCGGGACGCGGCTCTCGCTGCCGCCGTCCCGAGGTGGGGGGGGCTTGAAGCAGAGGAGCAGCTTGTCCCCCAGGTCTCCGGGCCCCCAGGTGCCCCCGTCCCGGGCCGGCTCGGGGCTGCTCCCTGCGGGGGGCTGGAAGCCGGAGAAATCCTGCCAGTCCCCGGGGTCCCGCTGCGAGGCAGCCGCCATGGCAGCCACCGAGACACCGGGCGGCGCGCTCGGCGGAGCGCGTTCGCGGGGCTCCTCCCGCTGTAGCGGAGACGGGGCGGGGCCGGTCCCGGGCCAAAGGGGCCCGCAGGGGGCCTTGGCGTCCACGGAAGCCGCCTGCAAACGGCGGAACCGGCATAGGCCAGAGCCGGCGCTGGGGTCCTAGGAGTGGGGAGAGAGCGGAAAGGGGCCAGCTCCGCCCCCACCCCGAGTGACCGTTGGGCGAGTCCGTGAGCCCCCCCCCGCGCGCGCGCGGAGCGCCTGACGCCTGTCCTGGCGGGCTGTGAGGCGGCGGCGGCGCCGCGCAGAGCGCGAGGCGCTCGCAGCCCCGGGGGCCGTTGGCTGAGCTGCGGCAGGCAGGTAGCCCCAGCAGCCCCGCGCCGCGAGCCTCCTAGCCCCAGGACGTGGCCCTGCCCGCGGCCTCCTCTAGGCGGCGCCCCCTTCCTCTGCCACCGCTCTCCCTCCGGCCGGCGCTGCTTGGGCCCCGACTCGGCCGCGGCTTGGGAGGGCAGAGGTTCCCCGTCGGGCTGGGGGCGCCTCGGGCCGCTCCTGGTCCGTGTGTTTTCAGTCAGGCCTGGGCTGCAGGTGGGCAGGGCGCGCTGGTGAGGTTTGCCGCTGACCCTCAGCTGGGAGGGGGCGTAGCACTTGGGAGGGCAGGCTGGAGAATTGCTCTGAAATCACGGAGCTGAAATTCAGTGCAGCCCAGTGCGCAGTGCCGCGTGATCCCGGTGGCGAAAACCCTGAGAGCGGAACTGCCAAGTAACCCGAACCCCTTCTCTCCACAGCGCGTGGCACAGAGACCTGTGGCCAGGACGGTGAGGACAAACCCCCGGCTCGGGGGCAGGCTAGCCTGCTGCGGAATGGCTCTTGGGGCCGTGCAGGGAGCTCTTGGTAGCCCAGCCACCCCAAGCAGGAGTGAGCGGGGCTGTGATAGTGGAGTTGTACAGGTCACCCTGCTTTGCGGGGGGCTGTTGGTACCTGATCCCTGCAGGCACGAGGGAGGCTGCAGTGTGTCCCTTTCTCTACTATGACAGGTTTCAGAGTAACAGCCGTGTTAGTCTGTATTCGCAAAAAAAAGAAAAGGAGCTGTAGCTCACGAAAGCTCATGCTCAAATAAATTGGTTAGTCTCTAAGGTGCCACAAGTACTCCTTTTCTCTCTACTATGATCTGCCGGAACGGCAAACTAGAGCCCACACTGTGTGCTTTCAGGGATTGGGTGTCATTGGCGCTGTAGCAGACCGGGGAGCCCTCTGGAGTCCTGGGGGTGAATGAGCAGGGCTGAGCGGAGACCCTGGGCCAGGACTGCCAGGAGGAGGATGAGCCCCTGGCTGTGGGGGAGGCTACCCGGCTGCTGAATGGCTCCTGTCCTCACACTTATCCAAACTCCCGCTTATCTGAAAAAAAATCCATGTGGCCCCTGGTATTCAGACAATGAGGACTATATTGTATTTTCTTTAGAGAGAAAAAAATCAAATGTACAACTACAAAATAGGGAATAATTGTTGAGGTGGTCGTACTGCTAAAAAGCAACTGGGGGTTATGATTCAGTTGTCAAGATGGCTAATATGCTGCGCTGTATTAACATGAGTGTCATATGTGAGACATGGGAGGTAATTGTCCCACTCTACTCAGCACTAGTGAGGCCTGGGTCCAGTCCCATGTGCCATATGTTAAGAAAGATGTGGACAAATTGGAGAGAATCCACAGGAGAACATCAAAAATGATAAATGGTTTAGAAAACTTGATTTATGAGAAGAGTTTAAAAAAACAGGGCATGTTTAATCTTGAGAAAAGATTGAAGGGGGACCTGAGAAGTCATCAGATATGTTAAGGACTTATAAAGAGGACTGTGATCAGTTCTCCATCTGCTGAAGGTAGGATAGGGCTTAATCTGCACTAACTGTAAGGATCGATTTGGTCTGGAATAGAATAGATATGGAATCCCTATCATTGGAGGTTTTTAAGAACAGGTTGGACAAACAGCTGTGAGGATTGATCTAGCTTTTCCTGGTCCTGCCTCAGCATTGGGGGGCTGGACTTGATCTCTTGATGTCCTTTACAGCCCTACATGATTTTTCTTCTCCAACTGCTGCTTCTCTGCTGGCTCCCTTGTCCCCATTGTGCCGCTCAATTCAGCAGAGACAGGTGGCCAACAATGTTGCTTTCTGGAGCTGAGTAGCAGCATGTTCCATCCTCCAAATGATAGACATGGTGAAAGGGAAGTGGACAGGTAGAAAGGACATAGGGCCAGGTGGCAGAGAATCAGAAAGACAATAGTGAGGAAAAAATTGATGAGAGAGAGCTTGTAACAGAGAGGGAAAGGGAGGAAAGAAAACACTGCAGCCAGAAATGGGAAGGTTGGTCTTGTGGCTAATGCACAGAACTGGAGAATCAGGACTCCTGGCATCTATTCCCAGCTTTGCCATTGACTCACCATGCAACTTTGAAAAAATCCTATCACACCTCTGTTCAATTTTTTCATCTATAAAAGGGGAATAAATATGGAGCTACTTTAGAGGTAGGAGAAAGTGCCTTAAAAATGAAGTATCAGCATTACTTTATTATTAGATGAGTAGACAGGCTGAATTAAAAGGTACTTATTGCACTTCACATCCACAGAAATGTCAGTCGAGGAGATCCTTAGTACTTGGCCCCACTATACTCCAGCTCCTGCGCCTCCAGTGTCAGCTCTTCCCATTGGGGCTGGGTGGGGTGGTACCCATGCTGCACACAGGGCAATAGCACTCACATATAGTCAATTGTCCATTTCCGTCCAACCCTTCTGATGTCTCCTCCTGCGTTGGCATGCTGCTTTTCTGTGGTAGTAGCAATCACTTTGCATTCTTTTCGGCCCATGCAACAAGCCAGTCAAGGAAGAGCCCTTCCACTACCAGAAGCTTCAGCTACAGTTGTAGAGTAGAAAAAAAACTGAGTTAGGTATATCAATGTAAAATCCTAGTGGAGACAAGATACTGTGGTTTCTACCTCAATGTAGTTAGTCCAGGTAAATTCCAGTTGGGGGTATAGAGTTGACCATGATTACCATATTGAGATACAAACTACCTGTGCTTTGTCTCCACTAAGATTTAACATTGAGGTAGCTAACTTGAGGTAGCTATATCAATGTAAAGACACACCTCTTTTTGCAGTGGAGATATAGAGGCTGTTCTTAGGCTGTCCACTTTGGATTTACATGGCAGGAGAGAACTTACTTTAAGAGAGAACCTGCATATATGGGTCTCTTGCGCAATGGACCAGCGTACTTTCCTGTTAAATGAAACACCAGTGTTTTGAGCTTATTCTTGGCATTAGCTCTGTTTTTCATTTTTTCCTGGATCTCCCATGGACTAGAAAGCTCACACACATGACAAATTGGGCATGGTGGGGGGCTCTCTGCCATCACTTCAGATGAAAGAACTAGTGCCTAACACTTAATGGTTAAATCTGTGGCCTGCACACTCCTACAGCATCAGTTTTCAGATAACAATATCCCTCAGGGTAGCACTGGCTTCATCCACCACCTATTCAAAGGCAAGTATTTAAGGCTACAGGCCAAGAATAGGCAGCACTTAGTCATGTGAACCTAAGCAATTTTTATTTATAATACCAACATGATCTACAATATTGTGAACAAATACATTATATTCTCAGTTCATGATTCTAGGAACTGATAAGGTCTTCAACGAAAGGCTTACAGAGGCTGATATCTTGTTACCTGTTCTTCTGGGCTTTGTAGGGGCAGCTCCCCCCTTCTATTCACAGTACTCCAGTTCTCTTTGCACAAGACACACAGGGCCCAGGGAATTACCAGTGTCAAGTCAGAATAAAATTAAATTATTCCAAAAATGTCATACTGGCCAGATGAAAGAGAAAACATTCACTGCTGGTTGTTCGTCTGCTGTTAGATTGCCCAGAGCTGATTGGATTTGAAGATGCAGGCAGATGTCTCAGCTTTGAAGTAGCTGGATATGAACTGATGAAATTGCAGTAATATCTCCTACTCCTACCACTGCCTTGAGCTCCCCTTCCCATAAACTCTGATTCTCCTGTTTTTCTTAACAGCTAAGCTTTCCTTGATCTCAGTTCTTAAATAAGACCCTCTCCATACTTCCCTCCACTTCTATGAACAGAGGGAACAGTATGGTTTCAGATCTGGTTCTAGGAAAGGGATTGACATTGTGGGTTGAGGGACAGTGAAGGGTCTTTGAGGATTTGACAGATTCTCTCCAATACCCTCAAAGCAGGAGGGTAACAAGAGTGTAAGTTATTGTAGATTCAGTAGCGTTAATGTCTACAGCACTGCTTCCCCCTTTGCACTTGACATTCTTGTTGGAGCTGACAGTTGAGAAGCCCTGCTATCCAAGAGCCACAGTGAGCAAGGTGTGCTTAGCAACATCAACTTCAAAAGTCAGGAAATAAATTGTTATGGTCAAACACTGTCCCACTGTGCTTATGCCTTTAATGCAGCATTTTAAAATATAAATTATGAAACATAATACTATATAATGCAAACTAGATTCTTTTGTATATCTGTACAGAAATTAAGGCACGAGAATATTATTTTGTACACATGGTTTAATGTTTGTCTCAATGGTATCTGCAAACAAGCCATGTTTAAAGCTATTGCAATGATTTTTTCAAAGTACTGGACATTTATGGCTAAATGGCTACGAGTTTAAGACATTCCCAAGTTTGATACAATCCTTGTGTATCGAACGCTCTAATAATGGGGTGGGGGTAGAGGGGGAAAGCCCTAGAGGGAAAAAAAAATGAACAAAAAGATCACCTGACCAGGATGGTGACAGTGCTTGTGAAATGCTAAGGGAGGTTAGGGAGGTTAGAGAGGCTACAGAAGCAGAAAGCGCAATAATAATGGGTGATTTCAACTATCATATGGACTGGGAAAATGTCACCTCAGGGCATGACGCAGAAATAAAATTTCTAGACATCAGTAGTGATGACTGCTTGGAGCAGCTAGTCCTGGAATCACAAAGGGAGAGGCAATTCTTGATCCAGTCAAGTGGAATACAGGAGCTCGTCCAATAAATAGCTGAGCCTCTCAGTAATAGTGATAATAATGTAATTAAATTTAACATCTTTTTGGAGTGGATAATGCCAAAAAAACCCACCTCGGTAACATTTAACATTAAAAAGGGAAATTACATAAGAATG